TAGTATTTCAGCATCTCTGTTTTATACTTAGATGATGATAAGGTTTTCTGATTAGGAGAGTTAGTTAATATGTTGCCAGAATTCAAAATGAACTTGATAAGCCAGGTAAGGTGCTGTACATCTGTAATCCTAGTGTTACAACCTGCATGGCTATTGGTGGTCCCTGGGAGAAACAGTGAGGGGATTTAGAGAATAAATACGGGAGACCAGAGTTGAGGTCAGGTGGAGATCCTCTCTCCTGATGGGAGAAGAAGAACTGAACAAGCACTGTGGAGGCACTTATGTTCATTACAAAGTAACATGAGACAAAGGATTGCCTTGCAACTAACAGTTGGAACTGTCTAGGCAGGATGTTTTTCTCAAGACTGAGGTAGGTTGACTACTTTAGGCACTATGATCTTGTCTTGGCCTTACATATATAAGCAGTTTTCAGCTTCAGCCACTCCCAACATCCTATTACTCAGGTGACTGGCGCAGGAGGATCACTATGACTTTGAGGCCTGCCTGTACTATACAGTGAGAACCTGTCTCCAGTAAGGGTGTGTGGGGAGGGGTGGATTTGACAGATTCTGACATGAAGCTGAATCTAACAAGATCAGCATTTTAAAAATAAATGTTTATCTGGTATTTGTGGATGTAACATTGGAATAAAATTTATGTTTTAGTTACCTGTGTAAAAGATCCTAGTTGTTTTAGAAAACTCATTAGGGGCAAGTACTGCTCTGTGGCTGTCAAATAGAAATTCTTCAGTCTATGCTCAGGTCACTAAAGTGGCCTGAATATCAAAGGAGATAGTTAGATTTGACTGTATCAATTGTAGTTTGATCATTCTCAGAGGAGCTACCTCAGGAGAGATGCTGATCAGTTGTCCATACAGACAGGTGGAATGGAATCAATTTTTGTTGGGTAGACCTATTTATTTATGTATTTTTGGTGCCAAGAATTGAACTTGGAACCTGGTGCTTGACAAGTGCTATACCACTAAGCTATATATACCCAGCCCATGGGTAGACACGTTTTAATGTTTGAAGGCATTATTTAAGAACATGTAATGTTTGGCATATATATGTGAAAAAGTGTATTATTTTCTTTATTTGCTATTTTTAAACTGACCATTAGGGAGGCTTGTGGGTTAACTCAGTTGTTTAAAGCTCCTGCTTGAGCAAACTCAGTCAGCCGCGAGGGACCACGGTTTGATCCCCAGCTCTACATGCTGCACTAGACCCACCCTTAAGGCAGCCTGAGCTAGCAAAAACAAATAAACAAACTGGCCATTAATTAGAAAAATTATGCCTTGTACTTTTCTTTAAAAGTAAATATGGTAAATAACCATATTTACCATATGTAAATAAATAAATTCAGATAAATAAAGCCTGAGGAGAAGTGGGTAAAATACATTTCTTGCTGTATTTCTTGCTATATATTTCTGTGTATGTAATTGTATGAATTTAACTGCTTCCATTGCTAGAAACTCATTTCTTAAGATACTACATGAGATACAGAAACTCAAGAGAAAACAAGATAGGTTAATAAAAGGTTTGCTTGAAGGTATATATCATTTGTGTATTAAAAAATTATGAAGAATGTTACTGCTTTGTACTTTATGTTTCATTGGCTTTATGTCTTACCTGCATTAGGGTTTTCCAAAGAGGAGTTGACTTGGCTTCAGAGCCTTCGAGGAGTTCCTCATGTTGTCCAGACACAGCTTTCTCCTGTGCTTCTCTACCTTACAGACTTGGATCAGTTTTTACACCATTGGGATGTAACAGAGGTAATAATGCATCTAAAAACAAACTGATAAATACTGAAAATCTGTTCAGGAACCACAAGTACTTACTGTATATTCAGGATTGTCTCTTGTAAAATGCTTTTAGAGATATAATATAAAAAAGATCTCTCTTCTCAATATGCTTACTATTGTGGGTAGGAGGTGTAAGTTTGTAAAAGAGGAGTGTTTTTCATGTTATTCCACTAGAACAGAACAAATCAGCAATTTGAATCATAGAGGCAAATTTGCTTTCTCTTTTTTTATCATAGTATAGATCCATCTATACTATGAGAATTTGACTTTGTTACTGAAGGAGTAACATTTAAGATAGGCTAGGCAT